TTTTGAACCTGGACACCCAATTCCCAGAGGACTGAATCATCCCACTCACCTGGCCTTCTCCCCCAAAGTCCTTTGCGGTGGTTTAATGCAGTCGCCCACAACTTAGGGTCAAAACGGTTGTTGTTATGCTGCTGCTGATCTGCCCTCTCTGCCAGGTAAGATGTCTCTGCCAGCCGTCGCATGACTTTTGGCCTCTGAAATCCTGTGGTTCTCCTGTCAGGTAGAGCCTAACCTTTACCGTTCATCTTCTGCAAGCTGTTACCTCTTCTCTGCTCAAACAGCAGGAGTTTCATTAGCTCCTGGACTCCTCACAGTCCCCCAGCTAAAATGCAGACACTAATATCATCTGACCCGGCATTAGAGTACAGCAGCGGCAGTCTCAGAGTCGGTCAGCTCTGATCCTTTGACTCATGGTGGCCATCTCAACCCCCAAGGCCCGCCACGGCTCTCCTTCTCCCTCGGCCACCCTTGTGTCTTCACCCATTCCCCTCCACGGCTGGCAGGCAATGCTGGCCATGCCACAGCCTCCTTCCTGGTAGAGCCAGCTGATCCTCCACCAAAAAAATCTTTCCTGGTGTGCTGCAGGTAAGTGGGAGGCAGGACCTCGGCGTGCTGGCTCTGCCCCAGCTCCCAGCTGGCTGGAGCTGGCTCCTCATCCCTGCCGAGGACAGGAGGTGAGGTTGGTGGCCAGGAATGGGTGATTCGTAGTGGGACAGAGGTGCCTGGGCTTCATGTCTCACCCACCGCTCCTTCCAGAGGGGCTTTTTGGGTGGCTTTATAAAGGGGAAGCAAAGGCACAGCTCGGCTCCATCTTCCCAGGAGCCCGCGGCCACGGTCTGTGCCACTCGGTGCCCGATTCGTCACCTCTGCTGTTGTCCCTCCCCAGGCAGGAGCTGGTCTGAGTTGCGGACGGGATCCACAGGATCCCTCTTCCCTCCCTCAGCCGGGGCCCTTCCTGCGCACCCCATTCCTCGTAGAGCACCCCAGCACGGCTCCGCTGTCTTTGCAGATATGTATTTTTCAAAGACTTGAGAAGTTTTGGTGGTTTTTTGTTTTTTTTTTTTGTCTAATGGATTTCCTGGTTTTAATACAATTGAAAGGGTCTGAAATCCATGCTTTAGATAACAAATGCCCAGCTAGATTAGGGCTAATCAGGGTGCAGGTCTGAGCAGATGCAGCGCAGGGCCAATCCTAGACCTGATTACAGTATCTCAGTATTTTAATCGTCTCTCTCCCAAGGGCGATCATCTCTGCTTTAATGCACAGCAGACTTTCCAGCCCTCTCCTCCTTTGGTTTGTTACCACCCCTGGCAGGAAGGCCGCTACGTCAGATGCTGAGGCGATTTAGTTTAAGCTGTGCCCCTCGGTGCCCGATTCGTCCCCTCTGCTGTTGTCCCTCCCCAGGCAGGAGCTGGTCTGAGTTGCGGACGGGATCCACAGGATCCCTCTTCCCTCCCTCAGCCGGGGCCCTTCCTGCGCACCCCATTCCTCGTAGAGCACCCCAGCACGGCTCCGCTGTCTTTGCAGATATGTATTTTTCAAAGACTTGAGAAGTTTTGGTGGTTTTTTGTTTTTTTTTTTTTTTGTCTAATGGATTTCCTGGTTTTAATACAATTGAAAGGGTCTGAAATCCATGCTTTAGATTAACATATGCCAGCTAGATTAGGGCTAATCAGGGTGCAGGTCTGAGCAGATGCAGCGCAGGGCCAATCCTAGACCTGATTACAGTATCTCAGTATTTTAATCGTCTCTCTCCCAAGGGCGATCATCTCTGCTTTAATGCACAGCAGACTTTCCAGCCCTCTCCTCCTTTGGTTTGTTACCACCCCTGGCAGGAAGGCCGCTACGTCAGATGCTGAGGCGATTTAGTTTAATCCCATGCAGAAAGGGATCTGCGTGTCGCCATCTCTCACGGAGACTTCCCTGCTCTTCCGTGTGCTCCAAGATGTGGCCAAAACTTGGGTGACACAAACCCGTCCTTTCCAAAGGAGACCCCGGTTGGGTTTTCACATTTCACCATCTTTTGATAGCACCCATCTTTGGCAGCAGCTCTACCTGGCCAAGGTGCGTTTGAACAGCAGGGAGGGATCAGGATTTTAACGTGGCGTGCTCTGTGGTCCATGAGGGTGGTGGTGACTCTGGTCTTTGAGTTGGCCATGGGTGGTGACCCCAGTTGGGTCTTCACATCTCGCCGTATTTTGATAGCACCCATCTTTGGCATCAGCCCTACCCTGGCCAACGCACGCATTTGAACAGCATGGGGGGATCAGGCTTTTAACGTTGCGTGCTCTGAGGGTAGTGGGGACGCTGGTCTTTGGGTCGGCCATGGGTAGTAGACTGTCATTTGAGAGCTCCAGCAGTCTCCTTTGGGTTAGCAACCCAAGTAACCCGAAGGGCTTAGTTGGGTTGTTGGTCTGGAGCAGGGATTTTAAGTGCATCCCAGGCCAGATCTCCGGGTCTGTGCCAGCACCTGCTTAAAGTAGGATGTGCTACGTTTCCTTGAGGGCTCTCATAGGAGATTGTCTTCAAGAGGCCTGAGCATGAGCTCTCATTTCAGTGTTTTGCTGCCTAGAACTCTCGTCTATTAGAAGGGAGTTTTGTACCTTCTCCTGACTCCATGCCATTCCTAGCGGTTGGTGTTGAACCATCACACCAGGAAAGCGATCCCTCGCCTGGGCTCTGAACCAGGCGAACGCGGGCGTAACCCTTCTGGCACGGGGCAGCCCTTTGGCTGGGGGACCGCGAAACTTTCCTACCCGCCGAGAGCTTTGAGATCCCCAAAGAAGGGATGTCGAAGGGCTGCAGAGCACGCTGCGCGCTGCCGGGGTCACCCACCTGGTCAGCACGATTAACTCGTAAGCTTTCCTGTCTGTACAGTAAGTTATCTGAGGACACCGAGCCGCGCTCTGCCGCCTCGTGTTATTAAACGCGTGCCCTTGGCGGGACAGAGGTCTGCTCTCTGCCACAGAAACCTGAACCAAAAGAGATTGTACTGCTTTTTCGGGAAAGCCTGGGTCAGGAACCTGCTGTCTTAAACTATTTGAATGCCGTTTCAGGGGTTGGCCATCCTGTGTTGCTGGCTGGGGGGATTTGTTGACCCCTAAAGCTTTCTTTTTTACCCCAACAGAGGTGCGGATGGTTTCAGAAATGTCACGTACAGGGTAGCGTTTACAGGCTCGCTTGCCTAAATCGCACTTTGCCAAGCCAAAGGCAGTGGTGGGAGCAGGCAGATAATACTGGAATAGAAAGACCAAGTTGCCAGCCTGCAGGATTTGCTCTTCCCCCTCCCCTGCCCAGCTGTATTGAGCAGTACCTGTGCTCCTTGCTATTTTTTTCCACCTCTTTTCATCATTCACATGACAATATCCCCAGGGGCCTCGTTTTGTTGTCACCCTGGTTGGTGTTACCTAGCTAACCGTGACTCGTCGTGTTCGGCACAGCGGTGCTTTCCTCCGTCGCCAAAAGCATGCCCGAAACTTTGCCAGCTCTGGCCTGGGGGGCGTCTGATCCCTTTCTGTAGCTGAGCCACCCTTAGGAAAAAGATGGTTCCTACTTTGCTGGACCCATCCATAAGTGGGGAAGGGCTGAGAAGCTTGGTTTGCTTTCCTTTATCTCTGTTACATGTCTTGTATATCCATGCGTGAGTGTCTATAGCCGGTGCCTCGAGCCAGTGTGGCTTGGCCAAGGCTCACTGGTCTCACCCCACCCTTTACCCATCTTGGTGTGAAGGCAGAAGGACCCGGTTGGGATGGAGGATGAGCTGGAAGAAGTGAATCGTGTCTGAGAGAGGCCGGTGGCTGTGCCGGGCTCGCTGGCAGGGCGGGTGGCAGCTCCCATGATCTGCACGGCGATGGGATCCTTCTCGTGCGCCGTGAAAGTGGGAAGGAGTTTGAGCGATGTACAGGGGTGTTTGAGTTACAGAGGGTACAGGGGAGAGAAGCTGAGTTTTATCCCTTCCTCAGCCCCAGGATTCCCAATTCTTGGGCAAATCAAGTGGAAAAACGCGTTTCAGAAATGTGTTCCTCGTCTGTGGGTGACCACTGCCAGGCTGCGTGGTGACATGCTCGTGGCTGGAGGAGAAATGTGTGGGAGCAATGCCTGCCTCCAGCAAAATACAGCCCGAGGGGGCTGGCTGTACGGCTTCCTGCTCTACCACCTGGCATCTTCTTTGGGTTCCTGCTCCAAAATTTTCTTATTTCTTTCCTCCTTAACCTTATTCTCTCTTCCTGCCACCAGACAGCCCCGGGGTGCAGGCTGAGCTTGCCACCTAACCCAACTCTATCCCATCCCTGCTCCCATCCCTTGTGGCACCATGGTGGGCGAGTCCGGCACAGCGAGGCCACTGAGCCACAGATAATTATGGACACTTAGGAATTAAGCCACGGGCACTGCTGGGTGGGAGGCAGGTGTCTTCCTGGATTGTCGGCATTCTGTGCATAGAATCATGGAATGGTTTGGATTGGAAGGGACCTTCAGAGGTCACCCAGCCCAACCCCCCTGCAGGAGCAGGGACACCTTGAACCACATCAGGTTGCTCACAGCCCCGGCCAACCTAGCTGGCCCTACTAAAAAGCTTGTCCCCCCCTTTCCTCTGGGCCCCCTTGAAGCCCTGACCGGCCGCACTCAGCTCTGCCCGCAGCCTTCTCTTCTCCAGGCTGAACACCCCCAACTCTCCCAGCCTGGCCCCAGAGCAGAGGGGCTCCAGCCCTCGGAGCATTTTAGTAGCCCTCCTCTGGCCCCGCTCCAACAGGTCCATGTCCTCCTGGTGCTGAGGGCTCCCGAGCTGGACGCAGGGCTCCAGGTGGGAGCGCTCTGACGATCCAAAGGATCATCTCCGGAGCAGCGCTCCCTGTGTCAGGTGCAGCCCCCAAACCCCTGGGGACCGCACTGCAGCACGTGGCCGTGCCAGCCACATCCCTTGTGCCGGTCTTGCTCCCCTCCTTCCCTCCCAACCTGACTCCTCCTATTTTTTCCTTCTTTTTTTTTTTTTGTCTCCGCAGGTCTCGTCCAGATCCCCGTCAGCATGTACCAGACGGTGGTGACCAGCCTGGCCCAAGGCAACGGCCCCGTTCAGGTGGCGATGGCACCCGTTACCACGAGGATAGCAGACAGTGCCGTCACCATGGACGGGCAGGCAGTGGAAGTGGTGACCTTGGAACAGTGACGATGCCCAGAGCAGGATCGTGGTGATTTTCCTCGTCTCTTACGCGAATAATTTTTTTACGCCTCTCCAGAGATGCAATCAGGTGGCATTGAGTCTCCCAGCTTTGGAAGCAAAGGTTTTGTTAACCTTTTTTTTTTTTAAAAGGAAAAAAAAAAACAACAAAAAAAAAGCCAAAAAAAAAAAAGAAAAAAAA